TGGTAGCATCGGTTGACCATCACTATCCTTCTCCGAATTTCAAAACTGATGTCATTCGTTTTATTTATGGCGGTACCAAGGTATATAAAATCTTTGACGCTGTAGTTCTCAAGTTCCACAGTTAGTCCGAGTCTACTGGACGTCTTGCGCGTTGATACCATCAGCTTGGCCTTCTCGCCGTTTACTGCCAGACCCACTTTGGCAGACTCCTTCTCAATTTGTTCAAAGGTGGGAGTTACCGCTAGCAATGTTCGACCCATTATATCGATGTCATTGGCGTAGGCTTTGTGTTGTGTTGTTTGGTGTACATAGTGTCATTTCTGTTCACTTTTGCCTCTCGTATGACCTTTTCACATATTTAAGTTCGTTCAATTTCAATGTAGAATATACCAAAGTGGTGAAGGGTATTATATAGTCGGCCCAGTCCGACTTTTTAAATAATCCACTCCTTGGTAGTTGAAAATATTTTTTTAAATACATTACTTAAAAAAAAATGTTTAAAAATTATTTTTTGATACTGACTGAATAAAAGAGCTTCAATTTCTTTGCTGACGCCATTGCAATGTGTGTTTCATATATTGTAGCATACTTTTAGGATGTAAAAAAAACAATTCATTCTAGTGAATAAATAAAAGAATTTTTACAAGGAAAAGAAACGAATTCTTGTATTTTTTGTTATCTCAATATATAATTTATTTTATTTTATTCTTCTTCTTCTTATTTGCAATTTTATTTTATTATTATTTAAATGTTGTTATTTTTTCTATATTAATTTTAAGGTGCATTATAAAAACTGCCCTTCAAAATTATGTATAAGCAAGGTTCCATGTTTGTTGGTTTTTTCTTCTTCCTTTTTTTATATATAATATATGTATGTTGTAATTTTTGTTCTTGGTTATTTGTTTGATGTTATTGTTTTTTCTATTTGTTTTTTTATATTAAATTTACACTAAGGTACATTTTTATGGTGTCATTCTATGTTTATTTTGTAATAATGTTTTTAATTAATATTGATCGATCGTGTTAATGTATTTGTTTGTTTTCATTTCATTATTAAAATTTATATGGTAATAAAAAAATAGCTTTTTCTTTTAATAAAATAAAGAAATATACAATAAAATTAAATAAAAACAAACATTTTTTCCAAATTAATTTGAAAAATTATTATTGCATTTTTGTATGAATTACGAAAAAACATATAAAAACAATATTAAATTCAACTTTTAAATTTTCTTTAAAAAAATATAAATAATAAATAATTTATAAAAAAAAATTGAATAAACACGAATTCAAATAAATCATTAATGAAAAAACTATTGGCTGTTATCAATGATTTTCGTTAAGAACATTTAAAATATAAGAAAATAATTAATATTAAATATTTTGTGTAAGAAGATCAATTCGGTTGAAAAAATTGCCAAAAAATTGCTGTCGCAGTGAAAAGGACCGTAAATGTATTCTCATAGAAAACCAGAAAATTGTTTTTATAGACCAAATATTCTTTTCATAAAAGACCAGACAAATCTTTTTATAGCTGACTACAAAATCTTCTCATTGAAGAGCGCAAAGTTTTATAACAGAAAAACAAAAAGGTATTCTTATACAATATAAAAATGCCTTCTAATAGAAAACTAAAAATTCTTCAAATGGAAGACCGAGAAGTCTTCTTATAGAAAACCAAGAAGTTACCTAGTAGCAGAGCAAAAAGTCTTCGAATAGAATGTCAGAAATTCTCAAAATAGAAGAAACTAACAGTTGTTCAAATGGAAGATCGAGAAATCGTCTAATAGAAAACCAAAAAGTTACCTAGTAGCAGGCCAAAAAGTCTTCGAATAGAAGGCCAGAAATTCTTAAATAAAAGACCGATGGTTATTCTCATATAGACCAGAAATTCTTCGTTAAAAATAATTTTTTGCACTTTATTAAGAAGACCATTTTCCATTAAAACCTAGAGGTACGTATATCCCCTTAAAAAAATATCGTTAACCACAACAAGACCAACAAAAAAAAGATATACACTTGGATTTACATAAATTGTATTTTGTTTTTATATTTATTATTGTTTGTTTCTTTTTTTTAAGTTAACAAAATATGTGTACAATCTTTTTAGTAGTATTTTTGTTTTGTTTTATGTCTTCTTATATTGTAACGTGAGGAATGTTAACTTTTTTTATTTGTTTAATGGATTGATGTTATTGTGGTATTTTTGGATAATATATGTGTTTTATTTTGTTTTTATTACTCTACTAGAAAACAATTGTTTTATTTGTTTATCCTTGGTGTGATATCATCTTATTTATTTTTTTTTCATATATATACTATATAAATATGTGTATGTATTTTTGTAATATTCCTGCTTCACTAAAATCTTTCAAAAAGCTTTTGTTTTTATGTTGTAATATTAATTTTCTTTTTTTTTTGGGTTTTACTTTTAATATAAGAAAATATGAAACCAACAAATTTTTAATAATAAAAAAATATGTATATTTACATTTTATTTATAAAATAGTCTTACAAAAATAAAACATATCGATAATATATAAAAAATATTAAAAAAAAAAACAAAAAATTACATTTTTGTTATTAAGAAAAAATCATTGTGATTTTTTTTCAAAGAAAAAAAAAACTAAATAAAATTAAAAACTATAATTTAAATAAAAATCTATTTATTTGTCTGTTATCTAGGCTGAGAATATTAATTCGATATTTATCATTTTCTTTATAAAAATGTATTATTGTATTTTATTATTTTCATTTTCAAAATATAACAAAAACAAGTTAAAAAATATTTATTTTATTTTTTAAATAAATAATAATCAAAAAAAATATTTAGAGTTGTGTTCAGTTAAATTCAACAATAATTTTTGTTTGTTTTTATTTTTAATAATTACTGAGTGAGTGATATTTAATTGTGTGTTGTTGTTGTTTTTTCTTGTAGTAAATAACTTAATAAAATACATATTTATAAATTTTGTTTAATCTCACTTAAAAATTAATAATAATTATAACTCTGTTTATCTTAATTGTATAATTGTTTGTATTTCTCATTTATTTAAGATTATCTCCACTACAAAACTAAATCTTAATTTGTATTTATAATTAATTATTATAGTATAATTTATATATTAATTAATAATACTTAAATTAAGATATATAATAAACAGAATTTACAGTCTGTTTCTGAGAAAAAAAATCGAAATTCAACACCAAATGTAGTGAAATATTTGATCGAAAAAATACAGGGGTTCACTAGAAGATTCCATTACAAGTCGGCAGCCTTTGTGACCCCCATTATTATGTTGTTATATAAAGTGCCGTTTCGATTTTTACACAGAAACAGATTGTTAGTGTATTTTTTTGTTTTTATTATTGACAATTATAAATAATTCCCAAGTTATATTTGAAACACAAATATGTATGCGCATGTGTGTGTGTTGTTTACAGATTGTTTTTCTTCAGGAAGTCATTTTGTGGTAAAAAATTCAAACTATTTTTTTACCACTTTTTTTCATTAAAATTTGAAAATTAGTTTTTTTTTTTGTTTTAAAATTTGTTTCATTTCAAAAATTGCACTTTTTAAAAGACATGCGACAAATGATTTTTTCCACTTGATAAAGTATATTTTATTAAACAACAATCCTTTAAGGATTATTCAGTTTTTTTCGACATCTGTAAACACAGAAGAAATGTGAACAGGATTTATGCATTTCGTTTTTTCTTCTTGAGAAACAGAATCCAATAGTAAAGCTGAAGTGGTTTCATTTCCACCTATCAATTCCTATTTGAATGACTGGTATCGATGCAGCCAGAGTGTGGTTTTTGGCCATCTTAAAAAGGGAACATTCGATCAAAGCGGGTAAGAAGATACCTGCTATGGGACTCCACTGATGTAACCATTTTTTAAGTAATTTTTCGCACTGGTAATCCACAAATTAATTGAGGTTATAATGGGTTTGCCATGCAACCAGTCAATACTTTTTATAAAAGAGGCTGATGAACAAAACGATTTTCGTTTTATGGAAGACCAGGAAACATTTTTATAGAATCTAAATTCTTCCCCCAGTCTTCTCCTTTCTGATATTATATAAAGCCCTTTATTAAAACATAAATAATTTTTCTACAGACATTCTGAGCCTTATTACAACCTAAAAGAAAATATTTTGACCTAATATATGAAGGATTCTTACAAGCTCATCTGCAAGAACACAAAAAACTTGTCAATAAAAACTTCGTTTAAAGGTCTTATGTGATAGAAGAACTCTTATATGGGTATAATACAGCTAAACCTTCTTCAAAGCAAATTTTAGAATTTAGAGCATTTTAATCACTGCTATTCAAATGTTGTGATGAAATTTTTATCTATTGTTGGTGGCCGAAGCTGAGTTTATGTTGTTAAGATTTTATGTCAGTTCTATTATCACGTGGAGCAAACAACTAGCATAGTACAATTCCTTCTAGAGACTCTACATGATGAGTATTCAATGTGTGGCCCAATTTAAAAAAAAAATTGATTATCCCAAGTGCTACTAAACACATTTTTGAAATCCCTATACTGTTTTTTACTATTGGTCAATTATTTTCAAGAAAACTTACAAATGCGCGAAAGTGTGACAGAGAAAGAGAGAAACCTCTTTCCGTTTTTTATAATATCACCAAAATGAAAAAAAATATCTTAAAAATTTTGTACATCCCACGACCAGCGTTAATGTTCCCAATTAATAATTATTTTAACCGCAGTCCTTCTATGGTCCAAAGCCATTGCCACCAGCATCTGTTTGTAATTGATGCAATGTTTGATGTTGCTGTTGTTGTGGTTGCTGCCCAACAAGTAAGGAGGATGATAACGATGATGCGGAACCAGCCGTGACATTATTACCGCCGCTGCTATTCATCATATTCATTTGATTCCTCGTATTATCCGCTGTTGTTGTTGCCGATGATGATGTGACAGTTGCAGCATTATTGTCTAGACCGGTCCCTGTTGTTGTTGCTGCTGATTGCCCGCCTTGGGCGCACTGCTAGAACCATGAACGTGGATTTGCAGCATCATATGGTTTGGGTATACCCAATGTCGATGGCCGATATGCCGATGGCGGTGGTTGACCATAACCCGCTGCCGCAGCTGCTGCTGCCGGTCCCGTTAACAACGATGGAAATGACATCATCCGATAATCATCACGTCTGAAATATTGTTGATACAATTGACTGTTACCGTCTAGCTGTGAGGCAGCATTCATAAAGGGATATGGAGCGGCCCGTGTGGTAGGATGTGTCAAAAAGCTGTAAGGATTTGCAGCAGCTGCTGCCGCTGCGGCGGGACTTAAAGCCGATTGCGTCTTATCCATAACACTGGCGGCGCTCACTGAATTGCTGGCATCATTTGCAGTATTACTGCTGCGATGGGCGGGAGCGGGTGCCATATAGTATGGGTTGGGGGCATCACGAAATTGATCTAAATAGCTGGAGCCGGCCGTTTGATCGCCATAAAGGCCCAGTGTGCTGGCTGCAGTGTGTCCGAAATTGAAAGCACTACCGGGTACCAATCCGGCGGCTGTTTTCAGGGATAGGGCAGCGGCAGCATCTAAGGCTGAGCTGGACGACGATGTTGTTAGGGAGGAATTTGCTTGGTGGTGTTGATTTGTTGAGGCGGCCACTGATGCGGACACGGAGGAGGCATTTTGTGTGATCTGACTGGAATTGGAGCTGGCGGATAATGGTGAACCAACACCGGTTGATTTAAGACCGGCATAAAGTTGAAAACTTTGTAGAGCCTGTAATTGATGGGGCGTGGGTACAGCTGCTGCAGCGGCGGCTGCTGCGGCCACGGCAGCTGCGGAATTGGAATTTTGTGAGGCGGGATTGTTATAAAGATTCTGTTGTTGTTGCTGTTGGCTTTGATGATGTTGTTGTTGTGAGGTTTGATGATGTTGCTGCTGTGTCTGATGGTGTTGTTGTTGTTGCTGTAACTGTTGTTGTTGCTGCTGCTGAGCCTGGGCTTGAGCCTGCTGTTGTTGTAATTTGGCTTGTGCTGCCGCCTGCTCCGCTGCAATTGTGGATGCCTTCTTCTTTCGTCCCCTTTTGGCTGGGGCTGGTTTTTGTGGCTCAACAACCTGTTGCTGTTGCTGCTGTTGTTGTTGTTGTGGGGCTCCACTTAAATTATGTAAATAATTTGTTGTGGCTGATGCCGCCGTGGGCATTTGATGCGGATTACCGTAAATGCTGGCACTGCTGCTAGATGTACCTCCAGATGCTCCCGTATTATGCATCGCATTCAAATAATGCTGAGAAACTGAACTCTTACTGGCCGCCGCCGCCGTCGAGGCTGCTGAACTATAGGTACTATGGGCCGCCGGCGGCATGGTTTTATCATAATAATTTGTAGCTCCTCCCGAGGAGGAGGAGGAGGAGCTTGTCAAACCCATCAAAGAGCTTGGATCACCCAGGGGATGTAGCAGAGACGAGGCAGGATTGTTGTAGGTCTGTGTTGGTGGTGGCGGAGGTGTGGGTTTATTATAGGCCGCCAAATGATGTGTGTGTGATAGATGATGACTGGCAGCCGAGGACGAGGTCATGGCCGATAGAAGAGTACTGTTGGAAGTTGATGAATTTGATGTTGAATTGGAATCATGATTTGTGGCGCCTGTCGAGGAGAGGGAACTGGAGCTGGTGGAATTTTTATCACTGCTATTCGAATGTTGTTGTTGTTGATGTGATTGTTGCTGTTGGCCGTAACTGAGTTGATGTTGTTGAGAGTTTTGTGTTAGTTTGTTGTTGGCGCTGCCATAAAGACTGTGTTGTTGCTGTTGCATATTATGATGTTGCTGCTGCTGTTGGTGTTGTTGTTGCTGCTGTTGATGTGCCATATAGGTGTTATCGTTATTGGACATATTCAAAGGTTGCTGCATACTGTCTGCGGTCTTCTGCTGTTGTTGTGCCATTTGTTGTTGTTGTTGCATTTGTTGTAAACTGCTATTGGCTGTTGTTGGATTCGTATTTTGCAGGGTATTGTAATTCAAACTGGCCTTTAATATATCCAATGCTGTTTTATTTTGTTGCTGTTGTTGCATCGATTGTTGTTGCTGCTGCAGCGTATGTTGTTGTTGTTGTTCGCTTTGCTGCTGCTGTTGTTGATGCATCAAATGGCTACTGGCATTCAAATGTTGTTGCTGCTGTTGTTGTTTATTTGTTTCTGATTGCATTTGAGATTTTTGTTGTTGTTGCTGCTGCTGTTGCAATGTTGCTGCATTCTGTTGGTTGTCTTTGGTATAGTCCTTGGGGAAACCCAACGATGCCGCCTGATTATACATGGCAAATGCCTTCTCGGGAGCTATATTACCAAAATGCTTGCCAAAGGCCATGGAACCCAAAAACGAATCGAACATTTGAGAATATTTCGATAGCTGTTGTTGGGGATCCTGGCTCTGTTGTTGTTGTTGTTGAGAAGAAGTTTGCTGATGTTGTTGTTGCTGCATTGGATTGGATGTCTGTGACAGTAGAGCCGATAATGTACTCTGCTGATGTGGCTGTTGCTGCTGTTGTTGTGGTGTAACATTTGTTGTTGTATTGCTATTCGTTTGCTGGCCCAGTCGTGCCGAATTACTGCCGCTGGTATCTTCACATTTTTGTTGTTTCCTGGCCGTGCCAAAATCCATTTCTAGCAGATTGTCGGCACTTCGTTTCAAGGTGTTGGGCTGCAGCTGGGCAACTTGTTGTCCAATTTGTTGTTGATGTTGTTGTGTATGTGATTGTTGTCCATGTTGTTGTGGCTGTTGTTGTGTATTTGTCGCCGTCGTTCCAGCTGTACTCAATGAACTTTTATGGGCCTGTACCTGTTGATGCATATGCTGCATAAATGCTGCCATATCGCCCGTCCCAGCAGCACCACCTCCAGCAGTATTGCTATTTGTGTTGTTGTTGTTAGTAGTGTTGCTGGAATTAGTATTTAAACCGTAATGATTAGCTGCACTGAAAGCAGTGGAATTCGATTTCTGAGTATCTTTGAGAGTATCCTCCGTTGTGGTGTTACTGTTGGCCGCCAACATCTTACTAGCCGCCGCCTCCGCTTGATATTGGGCATAGGTAGGATAGCTGGGTTTGTTGGATAACAATGAAGAATGCTGTTGCTGTTGTTGTTGTGAGCTCGACTGTTGGCTATTCAAATGCGATAAAAGATTGACATGTTGCTGGCTATTAGATGACTGAGAATTTTGATTACTAGTCGCCATTGGCTGATGCTGACCGAGTTGGCTACTGTTATTGTTACTATTATTGTTGTTGTTAGTGGTGGTGGTGGCGGAGTTGCTATCCCTCCAATCATTAGTCCTTGCTGTGGATGACTTATTTATATCGCTCAGGTTACTATTCTCATTGCTGTGGGGTCCACCTCTTAGCATTGTCGAGTTGAAGAGATTTTGTAGACTATCAGCTGAGGGGTTTTGGGAGGCATTAGAAGAGGCATCTTCTTTTTGATTGTGCAGTTGAGAGACTTGATGTTGTTGCTGTAATTGTTGTGAATGTTGTTGCTGCTGCTGTTGTTGTTGTTGTGATGGTGGTGGTACATAGGCATTTGAATTGACACCCAAAGAAGAAGCAGATTGAGATCCACCCACCGAGGACGTGGAATTCTCCATTTTTGTATTATAAAGATTTGAATTTTGTTGCTGCTGCTGATCCTTTGTCAAATCATTGCCATAACTGCTGCCGCCACCTAAGCCATGATAATTATGACTTGTCATATTAGACTGGCCATATGTGGGTGGTTGGGGAGGAGTTTGGGCCACTGCTTGCTGAGGCTGTGTACCTACACTGGGTGGTTGTTGTTGATACGGTGACATAACGGGTTGTTGATAGGGTGAATTTTGTTGTGATTGCTCAGCCGGTGAATTAGCCAAGGGTGTGGGTGGTTGAGTGGCAGCCGAAGAGGCTGGCGAATCAATGTTGGGTAATGGACTGTGTTGTTGATTTAACGGTGAATGTACACTGGATGAACCAGAAGCACCAGCAACTCCACCACCAGTTATCTGTGGTGTATGGGCCGGACTGTGGGCCAATGTTCCCGGATGTGTTGCCGTGCCACCACCAGCAGCACCATAGGGGGATTGTTGTTGTGGTCCCTGTCCCGCAGAAGATGCAGCTCCTTGATAAGGTGAATTGGGTGGATGATAAGGACTCTGATGTGGCTGGGGTGTGGTGTGCGGCGTGGCATATGGTGAATTCTGATTCTGCTGATAAGGCGAATGTGGATTGGGTGTACTGGGACTCATTGAACTATTATAATCCGATTCCTGGCTACGTGGTTGCTTATATTGATCATACAAATTCGGCAATGGTGATGTGGAGGAATAGACCGGTGTCTTCGAGGCCTCTGAACCCGAAGGATTGTAACTATTTGCACCCCCATATGGTGAAGTGCCACTTAACTCCGGTGTCGAAACATTTGGCGATGAGGCCGATGAATAAATATGCTGGGAATACTGAGGATAAGGTGAGGGCATTTCGCGGGGACTACAACTCTTATCGGGACTACTTTTCGTCGTGGTGTCTTGATAAAAGTTAACTTTGATTGTACCATTCAGGGGATAGGGTGAGGAAGGTTTTGTTATTTCATCCGGTTTGGGTGAAACCATAATGGGCGATGCGCCTATTGGAGATGCTCCAATTGGAGATGTATAACTTCCCGTGTTATAGCCGCCGTAACGATCCTCAATGGTAATACGTGGTGAATCAGGATCTTGACTAAAACTAGACCGCTCGGAAATGGTGCTACCCGTACTACCCTTGCGTTGCCGTGGTGCAGAGGGCAATGAAAACGTGTCACCAATTAAGGAGGTGCTGGGGGCGGCTCCTGCTGTCGTCGGACTTTTATTGGCTGGATTTGTAGCCAAACCTATGGTGGAGTTACATGCACCACCAAGTACCCCTCCTGCTGCAGCAGATTTATCTGAACCCTTTTCATCTGCACCAGCTGCATCTGGATTTTGTTTTTCTTCTTCTTCTGACTTTTTGCATTTCTTTGGAGCCCCAAATGCCTTAAACCAGGCGCTTAAATTTGGTTTCTCCTTGGTCGACGATTTACCCTCACCACCTGTGTTGGCGGTGGTGGCATTGACATTAACATCTGTTGCCTTTGCCGTTGATGTTTTTGCAGCCACCAATAAGGCCTCAAAAGGCCTGGGTTTATCACCGACTTTTAATTCCTCATCAAGTTTTTCTTTATCACCAGAAGACAATGATGTTGCTACCTTTGGAAAAGGCAATAGACCTTCCAATACATGATCCTTTGATTTTTGATCCTCTTTGTCATCTTTTTCCTTGTCACCACCCAAACCCAAGGCAGGACTTAATGCAGCTTTGTTTACCGTTTTACTGGCCAATTCATCAATGAACGAGGGCGTCGAACCAATGGAAAAATCGTCAGTTTTTATCACGGAACCCAAACTTAGTTTGGGTACATTGTCGGCCGTCTCCACAATCAGGGCATTTTTAATTTCCTTCGTCTTAATGGGACCACCAGATGCATTGGGCCCCAATGCAAATAGCTCATCAGGTTTATTAACATTTTGTATTAAATTGCCCTTGGCTTTGCCAGGTTGCAGCCGGTCTATGGTCCTAAGGAGATTATCCTTTCGCCGGGAATTCGAGGAGGCTTGTAGCTTTTCCTTCAACGACTTCCTCTTATCCTCCTTGGCCATTTGTTTTTTGATATGTGGCGGTGGTGGTGGATGTAGTAGGAGTTGTGTCGTTGAGGGCTCCTTGGGCTTGGGCATTGTCACCGTGGTCAGAGAAGGAGCTATGGTGGTGGGTGGGGGAATCAACAATGGTGTATTGGCTGCTGCCACCGAATTCAACGACGCTATAGAGGGAGCATTTATCGACGATGAATTCGATGAGGCATTCACTGATGTGCTACCCACAGAATGACCTGATGTGGTGGAATGGGGAGGTGAGGTTGCCCTGACCATGCTAGTGGCTGTGGGTAACAATTCATTGAGTATATCTTTCTTTGGTAAATTCGAATCAGACGAAGAGTTGTTGTCGGCCACCAGTTCATCGAAGGCTTCTTGCAGCTTTACCGGCATAAGATCATCCTTGGCTCCGGCTGGCTCTTCCAATTTTGCCGATATTGTAGCATCAAAATCATCCATCATATATCGTGATGGCGAATTTGAGGCTGAAGAGAATTCCGAAAAACGTGGGGTGTGCTCCAGCCAACGATTGATGTCCTTGAGGGTTTGTTCGGTCTCCACATCCAAGGCTTCCATATTGGCTGATGAGGAATTAGTGGTGGTATTATTGGAATTATTTTTATTATTCTTTCCGCCCCTTTTACCACCACCTCCCGCTTGATTTGTGGCTGAGGCCTTCTTTTGTAAAGCTTTCTTGGGTGGTGGAGGTGGTTGCGGTTTTTCCTCGATGATCTTCAGTTCTTCCACTTTGGGTGGTTCTATTACTACTTCGGGTAGGGGAACTTGTAGTGGAGCTTCATTCGCCACTTCCATTTCTAATGGAGGTGGTGGTGTTGGTTCCCTTACAAAAGCCTTTAATTTGTCCTTCTTCTTGGGTGGTAATTTGTCAACAGCCGTTAAAGGTTTCTTGTCTTTATTTTCGGTTATGGGTGGAGTTGGAGTTGCTACTCGTGCGTTTACTTCCTCCTTCTCCGTTATGGGGGTCTTATCTTCAATGGCTGGCTGGGAGGACAATTTTTCTTCGTGTATTGGTATTTCTTCTTTTTCTAAATAATTCTTTTCTTCCTGTACCTCCGCTTTTGTCGTTGCGACTGGGGCAATTTCTTTTTTATTGGTGAGCATTTCATCCTCCTCAGGTTTACTGGTCACTGCAGATGGTGTTTTCACATCTTTTGTCTTTTCTTCTTTATTCAAAGATTTTTCTAAAATTTTCTTGGCTTTCTTGGTGTTGTCACGAGATTTCCTACCCCTACCAGTGGTCGTGGTGGTCTCTGCCGGCTTATCTGGTGTCTTATCTACCTCTGATCTTTTCGACGCAGCTGAATCTTTTTTACGTGAACTATTTGTTCTACTGGTTGCAGCTGGTTTGGTCTCTGTATTCTGTTGATTTAACAAAGCTCTACTTCTACGATATTTAATTAGCTCATACTTATCCAGGAAAGGCAGTAGCATTTCCAGCTCGGCTTGTTCAGCCGCTGCAGCAGCTGCTGCTGCATCTTTTTCCGGATCCTTTTTCTTTTTATCATTCGACACAGACGATGACGAAGAGGATATGGAACGTTTACGTTTAGTTTCCTTTGCTTTACTGTTGTTAGTGGCCCGCGCGCCTCCTCTACGTCCGCCGGTTGCACCCCTTCTTTTGGGTGGTTCTGGCGTAGGTTCACGCGATTCTTCTTCCTCCTGCTCCTCTTCTGAGCTATGACTAGTTATCGATTTGAAATCCTCTCTATCGGAATCTGCTGGGGCAACATTTGATTGGGTGCTTTGCACTTTCTTGACCGTTGTCAACAATTCCGATAGATCATCGTTAAGGGCACTTTTTGAGTATTTTTTGTGTAGATCAACTTTAAACGGTGACATACTACGCGAGTCGTCATCATCATCGTGAACTTCCTCTTCCAGTTCTGAGGCGGATGCTTCCAAAGCGGCCACGGCCGGAGGTGGAAGATCTTTGTTGGAGGGTATTGAAGATTTCCGTTTATTCAATGCCTTGGGTGTTGCCGGTGGTGGTGGCGGTGGAGGTTCTTCCTCAAGTTCATCCTGTGGTAATCCGGCTTCTTCATCACTTGATGACTCATCTTCGTCCTCCTCCTCATCGGATTCTGTCATTTTGGAGGAATTTTTGCCCCGACCTTTCGTTTTAGTTTTCGGTTTCTTTTCCTTCTTCTTCCCTGAATTCTTTTTCTTTTGATTGGATTTGCTACTTGTCTTGTTTTCTTTTGTCTTATTCTTCGCACGTTTACTTGTCGACGACTTCATTTCATAACTTTCATCCTCGTCTTCATTGTCAGGTGGTTCTTCTTCGGACTCCATCTCCAGCATATTTTCCTCTTCCGAAAAATCATATTCATCTTCTTTTTGTCTGCCACTGCCGGAACTCTTTTTCTTGGATGATTTCTTCGATTTACCCAATTTGGATTTTTTCGATTTTCGATCTTTCTTCGAAGAGGAATCTTTGGAACTTTTTGACTTCTTTGAAGAGTTGCGACTTTCTTCCAGATCATCCCCCGCTGCCGCCGCCTCTTCTTCATCCACATCCATTTCTTCTTCCTCCTCGTCGCCGCTTTGTATTGATTTATCACCTTTTTTATTTGATTTTGATTTTCGTTTACGTTTTTTGTCTTTATCTTTCTTTTTGCGTTTTGACGATTTATGCTCACCATTTTCGCCTTCCAAATCTTCCGCCGCTGGGTCACCGGCGTGTTCATGTTCATGATGATGCTGTGGATGTTCTCCTCCTTCATCGTCTTCTTCGTCGCCGTCATCATTATTATTTGATTTTTTTGCATGTTTATTTTTACGTTCCTGAGATTTATGTCCCGATTTTTTATTGCCACCACCACTGCTGCTGGTCATAGTAGTATCTTGATTCTCCTTATCTTTGGCCTTCTTATTGAAATACTTCTCACGAAATACATTCATTTTGGAATCAGCCGCCGGATAACTTAAATTTGGATCATCCTCGTCATCGTCGGATAGATGATCGAAATATTTTTTGGTGGCTTTGTCAAAGGCCTCTTGTAGTTTATTTACCATTTCGGTATATTCTGTGAAAAGGGTAAAGTGGGGTTAGTGAAATACATATGCCGCTGAAGAATTTCATGTGGGCCTTACCATTATCATTGCCATTATATAACCGACAATTATTTACAATTAATTTGAAATCATTGCGAAAATCACTGAATTTCTGATATTCGCCATTGTCCAGTTTGTCTTCCATTTTGAGGAGATCCATGGGCCTAAAAGAAAAATTTGAAAATATTATTATGGAAAAAAATTTTATGTTTGAAATATAAATATTAAAATAATAATGTAATGGAGCGGTTATGGCTTTATCGGGTCATTTAATAATATTTAGGCGCAGAAGCTAATAAAAAAATACATAAAGAAGACCTATGTAATGTCTTCGAATCGTAGAAGCTTTTCAGAATATCTTCTAGCCATAGATAATTCTTAAAGCAACCTTCATCCGTCAAAAATGTATAGATGGTCTTCTAGCTAAAACCAAAAGAAACCCTTTGTAAGATTTTCTAACCATAGAGCACATCTATGTATAGAAGTTCTCTGTAAAGGTCTTCTACCTAAAGGAGTTCATTATGAAATGTTCTATGAAAAGAAGACCTTTAGAAAGGTTTTACATGTACAGAAGACCTCTGAAAGTGTATATAAAGAGTCTTCTATGTAGAGAATACCTTTCCGAAGGCTCTTTTATGTGTAGAAGACCTCTCTGAAGGGTCTTCTATGTAGAGCATACCTCTCCGAAGGACATTCTATGTGTAGAAGAGCTTTTCGAAGTATCTTCTATGTATAGAAGATTTCTCCGAAAGGTCTTATATTTATAGAGGATTTCTCCGAAGCTTTTTCTCTGTATACCTCTCCGAAGGGTCTTCAATGTAAAAAAAGTCCCCTCCGAATCTTCTATGTATAGAAGATTTCTTCGAAGGGCTTTCTATATATGGAAAACATCTCCGAAGGGTATTTTAAGTATAGATGACCTATCCGAAAGGTCTTCGATGTATAGAAAACTTATCCGAAGGATCATCGATGAAAAGAAGTCCTTTCCGAAAGGGTATTATATGCATAGACCTTCCCGAAATGTATTATATGTATAGAATACCTTTCCGAAAGGTCTACTATGTATAGAGGACCAATCCGAAATGTCTTATACGAATAGAGGATGGGTCCGAAGGGTCTTCGATGTGTAGAATACCTTTTGAAAGGGTCACATATTTAAAGAAGTCCTCTCCGAAGGGTCTTCTATGTATATAAGGCCTCTCCGAAGGATCTTATATGAATAGAAGTCCTTCTCTAAGTGTATTATATGTATAGAATACCTATCCGAAGAAGACCTCTGAAAGTGTATATAAAGAGTCTTCTATGTAGAGAATACCTTTCCGAAGGCTCTTTTATGTGTAGAAGACCACTCTGAAGGGTCTTCTATGTAGAGCATACCTCTCCGAAGGACATTCTGTGTGTAGAAGAGCTTTTCGAAGTATCTTCTATATATAGAAGATTTCTCCGAAAGGTCTTATATTTATAGAGGATTTCTCCGAAGCTTTTTCTCTGTATACATCTCCGAAGGGTCTTCTATGTAAAAAAAGTCCCCTCCGAATCTTCTATGTATAGAAGATTTCTTCGAAGGGCTTTCTATATATGGAAAACATCTCCGAAGGGTATTTTAAGTATAGATGACCTATCCGAAAGGTCTTCGATGTATGGAAAACTTATCCGAAGGATCATCGATGAAAAGAAGTCCTTTCCGAAAGGGTATTATATGCATAAAAGACCTTCCCGAAATGTATCATATGTATAGAATACCTTTCCGAAAGGTCTTCTATGTATAGAGGACCAATCCGAAATGTCTTATACGAATAGAGGATGGGTCCGAAGGGTCTTCGATGTGTAGAATACCTTTTGAAAGGGTCACATATTTAAAGAAGTCCTCTCCGAAGGATCTTATATGAATAGAAGTCCTTCTCTAAGTGTATTATATGTATAGAATACCTTTCCGAACGGTCTTCTATGTATATAAGTCCTCTCCGATGGGTCCTCTATACATAGAGGACCAATCCGAAAGGTCTTCTATGTATAGAGGATAGGTCCGAAGGGCCTTTGATGTATAGAATACTTCTCTGAGGGGTTTAGAACCCTATGTATACCGAAAAAAAATATACTATGGTTATTATTTCTATTAAACCCCTGAGAATCTCCGGTACCTTTCTCCCATAAAATCATCTATGAATAAATGGAATGTAATGAATGGATGTATGATTGAATTTTGTTGCAGTTGTCACTACTTACCTCCTAATTATGGAATAATATCTGGGTGCAATATCCTCCTCCACGGGATCCATAAACGGCCAGGCATCACGATGATTTTTCACATAGACCAGTACTTTGTGCATGCCAATTTGTAACACCTCCTCCATTTCGGTAAAGCTAAGAACATTTGTTGTGATGGAATTTTTGTTCGTACAATAATTGTTGTAGTTGTGGTTGAGGTTGGTCGAGGAGGATGAGGTTGATGATGTGGTCGTGGTGGTGGTGGAGTACAGAGATTTTGTTGTTTGATGATGATGGTGTTGGTGTTTTTGTGATTGATATTTGTGATAGGAGGTTGATGATTTTTTATGTACATATGTGGAATCATGTTGAAGGAGTAGGGAATTATTATTGTGATGATGATAATGGTGTTGTTGTTGTTGTTGATTATTGGGAAAGTGTGCATTGGTATTAGTAACTGTATTACTAGTGGAAGTATTTAAATAAGAAGAGGAAGAGGAGGTGGTATTATTATCGTTAGTATTGGTGGTGTTGACTATAGAAGAAGTATTTAAACAAGAGGAGGAGGTGGAAGAGGTATTGTGAGGGTGTTGGTGAGAGTTATGTGTCTGATGTTTCAAATAACGTTTGGTTGGTGGTATTTTGGCCATATCTGGTGTAGAAGTTGTTGTGGTGCTATTTGACCGGGATGTTCTACTGCTAATTAAATTGTGACATGGATTATTGTCGCTATTTGTATTGGTCATGGTACAGGGTGATGATAACGGCACATGATCCTGCTGTTGATGGTGTTGGCTTTTGTGGCCCTTGTTGCTGTTACCCTTGATATTGAATTTGTGGCTATACACAAGAATGGTTGTTGGTTCGCGGTTCGAATTCATATGTGTTTTTGTTGGGAAGTTGGAGGGTGATTTTGACATCGATTTAAAAGTATTTGGCATCGTGATGAATTGTAGGTTGTTTGGTGGTATTTTTAATATATATATGGATGATTGGATTTGGTTGATAGTGATTTTTACATTTTACACAATTGCATGATTTTTTGGTATTTGTTGTTTTTTTTTAACACACAAAAGAAAAAAATCAAGAAGGAAAAGGGTACAAAATACAAATTGGTACTTGTTTAGATGAATATTTATTTACAAATGAAATTCGCTGTTAGTTTTGGTATTACTCGGAAAGGAGAGGTAAACAATTCGAGAGCCCAAACAAAAACAGAATACAGCTGTGGTTGGTAACTACAATTTTGTATTGAATTTTACAAAATAAAATTAGATCAAGCATGCCAAAAACCAAAGAAGCTAAGGTAAGTTTATTAACAAAAAAAGATTTATTCCTTTGTACTGCTATAATACAATAGAATTAAATATAATCGATAATAGTCTACGTATCCTTAGGTAACACTACACATAGAATACCCTTGAGGGAGGGGTTTCTATAAATATAATAAATACCCTCAAAATGGTTTCTATACATCGAATATCCTTCATAGAGTTATTCTATATATAGAATAACTTTAAAAAGCTCTTTTATGTATAGAACACCCTTCAGAGAATACGAAGTGTTGGGAATATTAGAGAAGCGGTAAATAAATATTATCTGGAATTCATCGTGACTGTTAAGGCAAATTTCCACTTCTATAGGTAGGCCAACGGGTTTTCATACGTCAATGGATATTAATTTGGGAATCAAATGTTTATACCCTTCACCAAACTGTGGTACAGGGTATTATGTATTTGTGCATATGTTTGTAACAGGCAAAAGGAATCGAGATATACCCATGGTTCCTTTTGAGAATATGCATAGAATCACTTTCTGAGTCGATTTACGCATATCCGTCTGTCCATCCGTCCATGTATTTTTGTGAACAAAGTACAGGTCACATTTATGATCCGATTTGGATGTAATTTGGCACAGTTCACTTATTTGGCACAAGGACCAACCCTATTGAAATTTGAGAAAATCGGTTCAGATTTATATATAGCTCTTATATATAGTTTCGTCCGATTTTTTGTGAATGATACACCAAAATCAGAAATATTTGACCTACACACAGAGTACGGAATTAGGTCCAGAGTGATGTCTGCGAAGTTTTGTTAAAATCGGTTCAGATTTAAATATAATATAGCTCCCATATATAGTTTCGTCCGATTTTTTGTCCGTATATTATGTACCAAAATCATTCATTAATTTAATTTTAATGTCAAAAGAACCCCCACTTGAGAACACAAACCATGTTAGAAAATAATGAAGATCTTGACCGATAACATTTATTAGTTTTTGTGTTATCTGCGCCAAGATTTGTTAAAAACACTGATTCAAGAAAATTTAAAATAATATAGGCATTCCCATATATAGCATTATATCTTCAAGATTTTATTTGCTTGAATTTTTAAAGGGAATTTTTGAATTTGAATTCGAACCTACCGAATTAAACGGTCAATGTAACCCCAATTAAATTAAAATTAAATTGATTTCAATGATTAGCCTTAATTTCAGTAGTGTTGAATTGTTGTTTACATTTGCCAATATCTATTGCAGCCATGAAGTTTTTTAATACACAAAATTTCAAACTTGCAAGAAATTAGGCAAATTTGGAATAATAATACATGCATCCAAAGAGAGCGAGAGAGAGTATTTGGGAAAGCAAAAAATTATAAGAAAACAAAAAATACAAAAGTAAATATACATTTTTATTATAGCTGAAAACCCAAAATAACCGCCAATTATGATGATGAAAAGGAGTGATGTGTTTTTAGAGAAGAATGTTGAAGAAATAAAGGGAATAGAGTGCATAGAAAATACAAAGGTTACAAGCTTACTCATCGGCACTTTTTTCCGAACTCTGTGAAGAGATGTTGGTCTTGGAATTTGTGTTAATGGTGTTGCTGGTCTCATCTTCTTTAGATGTATCCGCTGCCGATGCTGTCGTTGAAGCCGGTGTCTCTTGATTTGCTTTGGAATTCGATTTTGATTTACGTCCTCCTCCTACGGCTGCTTTTGTTGTGGTGTCTGTGGATGCTTTTTGTTTCTTATTGGCCATAGTGGAATTTTTTGTTTTGTTGTTGGTGTTTGTGGAATTGCTGGAAGAAGATGTTGTGCCGGTGCCGCCACCGGCTGAAGAGGAATCTTGCAAGGCAGGCGGTATAAAGATGTTGCCTGTTAGCGAGGAAAGAGAATTATTTGTTTGACGTCCTGGTAATTTCATATTTGTAGCTGGTGCCATATCCTGCTGCTTTATAGCAGATACTGTTGTTGTTGTTTTTTTCTTGTCTTTTTCTTTTTTTATTGCCGATACACTTGTCACCAATGGATCAGTGTGGTGATGAGTGTGTGCTACTGCTGCTACCGTTCCACCCGATTCGTTATGATGATGATGGTGGTGATTTTGTGGCAAAAATAAATGTAAACTTTCTGTGGGCACTACACCCAGAGCACGACAAAAATTCTCCTTATCTTCGGGACTTAAGACGGGCTCTTCTTCATCGATGTGATTACGATGGTATTGTGTTAGAGAAGATGCGCCACCCGTCGAAGCTGAGGCCGCCGCCGCTGCTGCTGCCGCTATTGTGTGGTTATTGTGTTTGGCTAGTTTTTCCGATAGCAAATGTAATTGTGTGGCGGAAATTTGTCCTGGATGAGTAGGTGGTGTATCCTTTTTTACATCCACAACAGCAGTTCGCACCACCACTTCCTGATGATCACTTGTTGCTTCGTCCTTTCCCCTAGAATTATTGTGTTTTTGTTTTTTACGATGTTCTTTGGATTTCTTCTTTTGTTTCTTTTGGGATTTCTTCTTTTTGTGATGGTGGTGATGATGATGATGGTGGTGGTGATGATGATGTGACTTCTTATTTAGTTTTGTTGTGTGTTTATCGGTTTCCTCTTGTTCTTGTTGCTGCTGTTGCTGTTCCTCCTCATCGATATTTTGATTATCGTCGTTATGATTGGTTAAATGTTTATTGTTGTTGTAATTTCTTGGACTGTGATGTTCAACTTCTTCTTCTCCTTCTTCCTCGTCTTCTCTTTGTGGTTCCTCTGGCTGTATGAATTCCTGTTTTTCCTTTTCTAATGTTAATACTTCTTCTCCCACTGCTGATGCTGTTGTAGTTGTTAAGGCTTGGTGTTCTCCTGCTTCTGCTTCCTCTTCTTCGTTTGGTTCTAATTTAATATTTTTCAATAGATCCAAATGTTCATCTGTTAGTGTTGTTGTATAATCTACAATTTTGTGGCTATTCGGTTGTTGTTGTTGTTGGTTGTCACAATCTTCTCCTGTTACTGCAGCAAATTGTTGTTGATAGTCTAATTGCTGTTGCTGCTGTAGTTGGTGGTGATGTTGATGATAGTTGTCTTCAGCATCATCATCTTCATCAAAATAACGATCAATATCGCCCTCGTCCTCTTCGTCGTCCTCTTCTTCGGGTGTCAGACAAAATGTTTCTCGATGTCCTAAAAAATCACTCGAATTTGTGGTTATGGTACGACGCAAAGAGCTGGCATATGTTGAGATACCACTGGCCGTTGATGTTGATTGTGAACTGTAAATATGTGCGGAAAATATTTTAGTTAACATTGTATTTGAAAAAAAATTTGTATAACAACCAAAATAGTATATGAGGAGAATGCATGCACAGAATGTGTAGTTAAGTGATGGTCGAAAATTATAAATAAATAATTAGAATAATAAACATAATTAGAATAATTAAAAAAGAACATCTAAAAATATATTTTCCTCGGGGACTAAAAAATATAAATTTAAATCTCGGATTTTTTGAGAGACCTTAAAAATGATTTTCAACGAAATCCTAGATTAATGTCCTACAGAAAAATATTTAAATCAATCGTGGATTGTTGATATTCCTTGAAAAAAATTTTAACCATTCTAGATTGTTGACAGTCCTTCAAAAAAATATTTAAAATAAATATCCTGGAATCTGGAATAAACCTAGAAAATAATTTAAAATAAATCCTAATTTGTATAGACCTTGAAAGGCCTTTTAGTCTTATTCTTATTATTATTTATTTATTCGCAAACTACCGATATTTAAGAGGTAACGCTGTATGGAGGATATCCCCAAAAGTGAACCGATATCGATTATTTTTAGTAAGAATTTTTGCTACCCGATGGGAATTCAAAGTATCAAATTACAGCCAATTTGGTTCAAAAAATGTGCCCAAAATACCGAATAAAGGGGGGGTACCGTAATATGGGAGCCATCACGAATTTTTTAAAAATGTACGTCTTTTAATATTTCTTAAAAAAAATATTCCCTAAAATATCCTACTTAATTCTATGTCTCCTACATTTCTATATACAATTTAAAAATAAAAACAGTCTTAGCAAAAATGACAAATAATTATAATAATAAATTAATAAAATTAAATTAAGAATAATTATAAATAAATAAAGCATGCTTACATAATTTGTTAAAAGAAACGAATTGATTTTTTATTGTGGGCCTGTTGTGGCTGAGAATCAATCATTCAATAATCAATCAACAAGATCCAATCAGAAGCCGAAACAGAAGAGAATGATGCTGGGTTATTATAATTTGTTTCAATTATTATTATTATATTTTTTTGGTTTTTGGCATACAAATTTTTCGATATGATGATGTCTCAAACAAATCTCTAGTCGTTGGGCCAAGAAGAATAAACGACGCCAGCCACCAGTTGTTGAGTTGAGTTGTGTGTGTTTTCCAACAATATAATTAAAGAAGAGAGAGGGAAATAAAACTCCGCTTAATTTTGTTTTTGTGATATTTCAAAATAATATCCTCTTCATATAGCCAAAAATATTCATATGTCATATATGGAATTTATGATTCTCGCTTCAAGGTGGCGCGGCATGTATTCTTTGTTTGCTTTTGCTTAATGATTTGTTTGATGTTTGATCAAAAATTATATGCAAGAAAAAACAAAATAATGTTTCACAACAACTGATAACAAAAACAAAAAGAAAAGCCAACAAATGATCCGAAATAATAATGAAACCAAAAAAAGGCAATGGAGGATGTATTGTTTTGTTGTTGGATTGGTTGGTGTTGGAATTGATTGGTTGTGCCGTTGTTATAAATGTGATATGATCAATTTTGGTGGGTGGTGTTGGTTGGGTGGTGGGTGTTCGGTTGGTGTTTTTCGTGGTGATGATATAATGCAGGTTTATAATGAATGCTTCTTAACACATTTCTGTAGTAGTTTTGTTCATATACAGAGTTCTTGTTTTTTGTTGCTTTCTTTTTTCTGTTTTGTTTTGAGTTTGGCTTTTATTTTTTGCTTTGTTCTGTTTTGTTTTTTTCTTGTTTTCTAGGAGAGACTATTTTGACGTGCTAACCATCTGCGCGCTCTAAGTTGTGAGCATGTTGGTACGTTTTTCGGTTGCGGCTGTTCAAATTGTAAACGTTGTTGACGTTCTTTTTGTTTACGTTCTTTTTCTTGGCGTTCCTTTTCTTGTCGCTCTTTCAGTTCGGCCAAATTACGTATGCGACTTGAATTGCGAACTTGTAGTAATCTGCAAATTTAGAGATAAAAAAGATATTAGTATTAAGAATAAGAAACAAACAAAAATAAATCACTGAACACAAAATTTCTTATAAAAAAGAAAAAAAATATTTCAAATACTCCACACTTGCAAATAATGATTTATAAGAATTTAAAAATATTATATTTTTGCTAATAGTATATGGAAAAACATTTTGAAAAAAATATAAAAAGATCTAAGATCTTCTTTAAATATCCCTACTAGTTATCTATAAGAGGGTCTATAGTCTTATATAAGAATATAAAATGGACTTCTATAAGTATCCCTATTAGTCATCTATAAGGAGATCTAATGATCTTTTATAAGAAACCCTAATTGTCTTCTATAAACCTTATAATTTTGTATATGAAGACGTAATAATCTTCTATAAGAAGACCTAAAGGTCTGCTATAATAAAATCCAATGCTCATCTATAAAAAGACCTTATGGTCTTCTATAACAAGACTTAATGGACTTTTATAAGAAGATCTAATGGTATTTTGCAAGAAGATCTAATGGTCTTCTATAAGGAGACCTAACAATATTTAATAAGAAAACCTAATGGCCTTCTATGAGCAGACCTAATAATTTTCTATATGAAGGCCTAATGATCCTATATGTAAGAAGACCTAATGGTGTTATATAAGAAGGCATGATGGTCTTCTATAAGAAGGCCTGATAGTCTTCTATAAGAAGACCATGATGGTCTTCTATAAGAAGACCTTTTGGTCTTCTATAAGAATACCTATTGGTCTTCCATAAGAAGACTTTTTGGTCTTCTATAAGAACACCTTTTGGTCCTCTATAAGAACACCTATTGGTCTTCCATAAGAAGGCCTATTTGTCTTCTATAAGAAGACCTATTTGTCTTCTATAAGAAGACCTATTGGTCTTCTATAAGAAGACCTACTGGTCTTATATAAGAAGACCTACTGGTCTTTTTTATGAAGGTCTACTGGTCTTCCATAAGAAGACCTATTGGCCTTCTATAATGAGATCTATTGGTCTTCTATAAGGAGATCTATTGGTCTTCTATAGAAGACCTATTGGTCTTCTATAAGACCTATTTGTCTTCTATAAGAAGACCTTTTGGTATTCTATAAGAAGACATATTGTTCTTCTATAAGAAGACATATTGTTCTTCTATAAGAAGACCTATTGGTCTTCTATAAGAATACCTATGGGTCTTCTATAAGAATAGGTATTCTTATGGACTTCTATAAGAAAACCTATTGGTTTTCTTTGAAGATAATAAGAAGATAATAATTGTAACAATTTAAATTAAAAAAAAAAAAAAAACAGCAAGAAACTAAAATCAATAAATCTCTTCACAACACTGCCACACTACTTACTTTCTTCGCCTCAAGCGTTCACGTTCCTTAAACAATTGCGGTAATTTTGGCAAAAAATTCTCATCTAATATTTGATATAATTCTTTCTCTTTGGCATTGGTGGATGCCTTAAATTTGGCCGCAAGATTTTGCCAATCTTCTTCGGTAAAACATATGACTTGCCACACTGAATTCGATTTCAGACTACTACTGCCAGCACCGGCCGGTTTATCTTCGCGATATAATCGCGTACCGTAAAAATACCAATAACCGGAATTTTTCGAATCATAACCTAACGGTTCGACGCGTAAACTATCCGATTCGAGATTATTCAAGATGACCTGAACATCGACACTGTCCAAACGAAAATGACACAGATCGTATAAAATCAAGAGACGTTTGCGTACGGGTAACGATTGAAAATCAATATCGGTATCAAAATGGTTTTCGGTATTGTGAAGACGACACTGTTGGCGCAAGAAACGCCGCAAGAACATTTGATAATTACTGTGGGTGATTTCTTTTGCTACCGAACGTAAGGCATCGCAACCCTTGAGTAGGCGTACAATTAATTCAGGCACTAAAGCAATATGATGTTCATCATCTGTGGTAGTACCATCGGATAATAAGGCGGATTCTAAATCCTGCAAGAGGGAAGGGAAATTTGGAAAATGTTTCTTTCGACTAAAACTAAAAACACTACCCACCTCAATATCAATATCTGGCAAATCAAAGGCTGAACTAAACAATGAACAAAAATGTGAAATGCACGGTATCTCCCACCATGATTGTATATCTGTAAGGGAAGAAGAGGAGAAAAAATTGAATTAATTTTTAAAATGTTTGGAAAATTTGATTTGCTGGCTTCTTACCCAAAAGTCCTATGAAAGTAGAAACCATTTATGTTCACTTTCAGCAGTTTCTGAGGTGAGTTGCGCCGTCCTGTATTTTTTTGCTTGTTTATATATCCGTGAATAAAGGCCTCGTTTTTGTTGCTTTTTGTTTAAATCTCTGTGTATCCGCTTTCTGTATTCTTCAATTCCTTGAGTTTAGTTTTACAATTTTCAAAAAATTCTTCTTTGGTATTTTTTATATGAAATCATTTGTTTTTTTTTCTGAAAATATTTAAAACATGAACAATTATGAAGAATTCAATCAAGGTTTTTTTGTATGTATATTGTAGGTGAGTATACACACTTGGATGCGGCAAATATGTGCATCATCGAAATATCAGTTTCAGACAATTTGGGGTCAATTTACAAATGTCCGTCCGTCTATCTGTGTGGACGGCTGGTACGCATGATAACTCTCGAAGGGAGTAATCGATTTCATTACAAATTTACAAATCTTAATATTTATTCCAAACATAGATAAAGTTGCACTCCTTCTGGATGCAAGAAGATATGTGTCAACTATAGAGGAATAGGTCTCCTCAAAACAACTGAAGCCAATGGTCAATTACATTATTGGACCATACCAATGCAGTTTCAGGCCTGGCAAATCCACCTGCCAAATCCGGGAAATGACCCACGAAAAACACATCTACACATTCCACCTATTCGTCGACTATAAAGACGCATTCGACAGCCCTATTCACTCAGAGGTGTTTAAAGCCATTTTGCTTTGGGCATTAAAAAAATTATGCAAGATAACTATAATTGACACAAGGTCAGCAGTTAAAGTCGGTAAGGACCTATCGGAGCACTTTAATACCGAACGAGGATTCAGACAAGGTGACAGTTTGTCGAGAGATCTTTTTAACATCCTGCTGGAAAAGCTCATACAAAAGGTGAAAAGAAATGGATCTTTGTACATTAAACAGCATATGTTACACGCCGACGACATCGATATTATGGGTCGAACATTGCGAGCAATAACAGCAATCTTTGAACAAATTGAGAAGGAGTCTGCCTAAGTGGGTCTGGCAGTAAATGGCGGGAAGACCAAGCTGATGGCATCAACGCGCAAGACTCGGACCAACTGTGGAAATTGAGAACTACAGCTTCGAGGTAGTCAAAGATTTTATATACCTTGGTACCGCCATAAATGGTATCAGTTTTGAAATTCGGAGGAGAATAGTGTTGGCCAACAGATGCTACTATGGTCTAAGTAAGCAATTCAGAAACAAGGCCACCTCTCGCCAGACCCAAAAAAAAACTCTAAAAGTGATAACAAATGATAACCTTCTATGTCACTCAAGTTTTAACTACAATGGGATCTACTATCCGAAACGAATAGCGTATTCTGAAGCCAGGAAGGCCCAATTTTAGATCGGGGGAATTGCGCCATTATAGGTTAACAAAATATATACATTGTTATTAGCAGGCCCCAATTGAACAATAAGAAAAGGATAACCTTACCTTCTATGTCAATCAAGTTTTAACTACAATGGGATCTACGATCCGAAACGAATCATATAGACCACATATTTCTCATTTTGTGTTGTCAAGAAGTATCTGCATTATCATGAAAGAAGATTTAAGAGGCAAAAATAGAGCCTTCTGATCACATAGCCTTTCTATTTGGTCTGAATAATGGCGTATTCTGAAGCCAGGAAGGCCCAATTTTAGATCAGGGCAATTGTGCCATTATAGGTTTCCTAATTACGACAAAATATGTACATTGTTATTAGTACATTGTTATTGTGATAAAGTTTTTAAAAACTACACGCGAACGCGGCTTAAACATATGAACTTTGCCCCACACACAGCTGATTAGACCTTAGGGTTACTTAAACGTTTTACCTTAAACGAAAAGAATCAATTAAAACATTGTAATCACATTCAACCAAACATTGAACTTACGTAGACACAGATGTTCGTCATTCGTCCATCAATATCATAATTACAATAAAACATGAATATAAGGGACCCAAGCTCAACTCGGTCCCACTACGACAATACTTGCAAAGTTTTACAACTTGCTACATATTTCTCTTAATTTTTGCATTATTCATTCAAAATGACCACAATTGATCAGGAATGTATCAATAACATATTGTACATTGAACTGATTCCTTTCGTGCCATCAATACGCTGTCTTGAATCATAAACTAACAATTCTGGCAAAAGTATGTTCGTTCATGATTTCTGAAGCACTTTGCCTTACACAGCTGATTTAATATCTTGAAATCTCGATTTCACCTTAAGATTACTTAAAAGTATAACCTAAAAGAAAATGAAACAATTAAACAAAATTGCCAACAAATTTTAGCAAAAAACATTGAACTTACGTAGGCAAATATTTGTCATTTGCCCATCAACATTGCCATCATCAAAACATTCCCCCGCCCCTTCTCTATTAATGGGATGGCAATCTCAAAAATATGATAATTTTTGGCGCAAAACAATTTGCCTCAATCTTTTAATAATCAAAAATATTGCGCGGGAAAACTTAACATTTGTGAATGATGACAGACAGCAACGGTGAGAAGAGGCAAACAAACCAAACATAAAAAGTCTTGTCAAGTGGCTAAAAAGCACAACGTACACACACACTTAAACTCAGTAATTCTCCGAACAATAACAATATAAACACGCGCTAAACACAATCGAGCGAGTAGGCAAGCAATAATACGCGCCACAGGTGGGGGATGCGGGCCGGCGGCGGTAGTAACAAGAAGTACGGCAAATGAATAAAAACACAAGAAAAAATGTCAAGAGAATTACACATATGGTTGAGATAAATATTTTCGTTTTTTCAACTACTCTCAATTCTTTGATTTGTCAAGTATGTTTTTTTTTCTTCTTTGAGAATCAATCAAAACCAACAACACTTCTTTTGTTCCTTTTGATTTCATATTTCTAAATATTTTGTATACCGGAACAAAATACTTATCACAAAGTAATAATATCATTGTAGATATGTATAAACATGAAATACAAATTAAAAAAACATAGCACACCAAGAAAAACATGTGTTTATCACCAACACTACTCACAGCACAAAACAAAAACAAAAACAGTACGAAGGAGTATAATTGCCTGAGACAAGAGAAATCCCGATTGTTTTGGTTTGTTATTTTTTGTGTATTTCTACCATCAACAACAACAACAGAAAAACATACGGTATTTTGTTTCTTCTTCTTTTGTATATTTTCAATAGGGAGATAACCATATGTTACATGTTAAGCGCTCTCTTTTCCATTGACTTGAGAGGGAGCTTGACTTGGTATAAACACCGACATGCACACATTCTCATCAAAACACTAGGCAGAAGAGTGCAAGTAATAATATTTGACTTTTTTCAACGGGGAGAGTAGTACAAACTCTGTGGAGAGTCAAGCGGGTTAGGGTCCACATAATGCGTCAGAAGAGCACAGCTAGATTAATGTTTAATGTTAAAGAAAATTGAGACAATTTTTTGTGGTATATTTTCATTTCCCGTTTTATTGGGGAGAAAAAAATCAAAGTGAAATTTTTCTGCAAATCAATTTGGGTTTTTCAAACGCTTCTAATAAAACGAGATAAATTTGTTTTCATTCGAAAGATATTTCAAGAAAATCACTGAATTAAATTGTAATATCCACCAAAATTATGCAACACTTCTTTTGTTTTAGCCTGTTTTGCAGCGATTTTTTGATACATAAGCGCCTCCTCTATATATTGTCATGGTTTCCTTGACATTTTTCTTTTGTTTTTCCTTATCCCGAGTTATAACACACACATTTCGCCATCCACTACACTTCTACTCATTTATGATTACTTCATAATAATTCATGTTTATTAATTTTTATCACATCATATCTCTGCTTACATTTATTTGACTTTTGTCTTCCGTCTCTGCGCTGGACTTATTTTGCCACTCTGGTTTTTGTTTTTTCGTCAAAAGGTTTTTGACTTCATCAATAATTTTCATGGAATGACGGACGACGACTCTGTGCAGCAGTGCTTCTTCACGGTACACACACTCCTATTTTTTCTCGTCGTCTTCCTCTTCTTCTCTTTTTTTGGTGTAGAAAAAATGTTGAATTGCGTTTAAATTTAATTCAATTTTCTTCTTCATTTACACTACACACACATGCACTCCTCATCACTTTTCCTCGGCTTACACTTAAAACTATGTTTACTAGATATTTTAAAGACTTTTTACAGAAAACCAACAATTATCGCTTTTGGTCGTCGTCGTCGCCGTTGTTTAGAAGAAAACATTTAACATTTTTGCCGTTTTGAAAAAATCAGAGATTTTCTTTGCTATTCCTCTACATTTGGTTGGTTCACTTATATATCTATATATGTGTATATGTACGATGATATATGTGTCGGATTCTTTAATTTTTTTTTCTTCTTTTTCAATTTGGCCACAAGAATTTTTTCCAATTCTCCACTACAATTTATTTATTAACTCACGAACACCACACAACTGAATCCGCGTAAATCCGAATATAAACTGACATTTTCTATTTGCTGCTCTTTGAAGGCACTTGTTAACGTGAGAGAGAAAGAGATAACTGGCGGTTTTTAAAGAGAGAAGAATATTGTTTTACTCGCAGTGTTGTCAATAGATTTGCGTTTGTGCGTGTTTATTGGAGAAACGTTTCATTTGATTTTGTCGTTAATTTTAAAGTTGTAGTGAAAACTATTTAAAGGGAAACAATTATTTACACTTAAAAGAAATTAAAATATGAAAAAATCTCAAAACTGAATGAAATGAAACCAATCATCAATGTCATATGTGCTGTCAACATTTGTCGGCGCAGCAAAAATGACAGAAAGAAGGGGATACACATTTCGGAATGCTTCTTTCAGTTTCCTGTTACATTGTAAAATGGAAAGGAAGAATAAAAGAGGTCACTAAAATACACATGTTTTACATGTTTTTCTGATATTCCTTTATAATATGGCATTTAATTATAATTAAACTAAAAACGCTTGACAGAAAGATTAATATCTGCTTATTTTCTGTGTTGGCGTATAATCCAAAACTAATTGCATGGCAACACTTTTTGAAATCGGTTGTTGTCAGTGGTAATC